AGGGATAAAATCTGATATCGTTAGGTTTTACGAGTGCCCGTGATTGCTGAGAGCTCGACCGTTGAATATGAAGCAGCCGATCAACGGATACATTGAGATATTTAAATGGTGCTTATAGAATAACAATAGGTAGATAGCTGCTGTTAAGTTAGATATTCGAAGGACATTTTGTATTGAAATTTTGTTATATCAACCTCTTGATCAGAGAGTTTAGAGCAAATTAGAATATCCATTTTACTTTTACGATCTGCCATAAAAGAAGATGTTTAAATGTGACAAAATAGATTTGCGTATTTAAAATGAGAACACAAAAATAAAACAAAATATCGTACATGTGTTACATGCTTTTTTGTCAAAAAAGAATTCTTTCACGAGAACGTTATGAGTATTTTTAAGACAAAATTTACAAGAAACATGGTTTAGTAAAAACAGCGTACCATATAAGAAATTCCCTGGTTTATTTGATTAGGATTTGCCAGAGACACGTAAACCCTTGAAAGGCTTTAAAACGCCTATTTTTATTGCTAATCTCCGACAGCTATTTTTTGTGACGTACGAATAATTCCCGGAAAGCTCAACGCAGCGGAAAAAATATTGCCGACCGCGTGGCTCGAGCATTTTTTTAACGTTGGCTCAATTTTGTTCGCCATGATAGTCGGCTGATGTGTCTGGCCTATGACAAAAAAGTCAAGAGTCGCCCGAAATTGGGCGAGAGGTGAGATCGCTTTTTTACGTTTACACTTGTATGCATAGTTATGAACTGTGCAGTGCAATAGGTATTTTCCGAGTTTTTGAATTTCGTCAAGTGGAAATATTGGGACACTCTTTATTTTGTTCCTCAACAATACTATCGGGAAACTAAAAAATATGTATAGAGTAGGGTTTGAAAATCAAAATGGTTTATCGCACAATGAACAACATCAATGAAATTGCAAATAAGAGAATATTAATGTTTCTGTAATAGTAGACTCCACACCAAAATGAGCAATTTCTGACAAACCGGGAAATAACTCAATTTTACTTTGCTCTTGAGTCAAGAGCAAAGTATAATGCTTAGTGTAGAGTCTCTACACTCGGCATCGCCCATGTGACTACCCCCCAACAACGCAGGTATTAATCCGACAAGAAGTATATTTCTGACATCATAGTGGGATTGTTTTCTTTTTTGAGAGGAAAACATTATTATAACGACTTCTCCTCCGCAGGCTGAAAAAAAGGGAGAATCAGATAGTGACTTAAAATACCCCATTCCTTCTTTTCTCTAGGCCGAGGTTGTGGTACCTTATTGCGCTTACACCACAACCCTATCTGTCAATGGAACTGTTGACATTTCAAAAAATTACAGACTAATGTTTTATATCGAAAAGAACATTTCTCAGAAAAGCTAATAATACCTAGTACTACGAATATATGGGACTATATATACATACACGTGCAAAGAATTGGTACACGTGTCCTATAAAAGTTGAAGTTACACAAGACAAGGTTCATCGTTTATTGATACGTTTAGGTATATTAATATGTTTACGTAGGTACATTAGGTTCAATTTACAATAAAGTTGAAGACACACAGCGCGTTTCTTAATTTCATACCTATTTATGCATTAGTTTAGTTTTTTACAGCTGCATCAGCATCAGCTCATTAAAGCCCACTGTTAAGTAAAAACCTTATCTCATACGGAGAAGGTACAGCATGTTTGAGGCGAATTGGTAATTTAAAAATTATAATCCTAATTTTAGGTTTTCTCTCTATACATTACTTTACGGTTTCATCAGTGGTGTTTAAATACACTTAGACAGCACATAATAATATAACTTAATAATGTCACATTGATTCTCGCCAGGTTTCGAAACCTTTGTTTTACTTTTTTTGATTGCTAAAATAATATGAACATATTGAATTTTAATTTTCTGGCTTATTCTTGAACAATGGTCATCTGCAACAGTTGACTGTTGTCAACTGTAATCAAAGACGGTAATCAAAGCTAACACAGATTAAGAATAACATTATATCGAAGTTTGATAATCTTGTTACACGTGCCGAACCAATTTCAACGAATTTTGGCAACATACAAATACTAAGTTCATATATCTGTATTAATATAAGAAGGAAAAGTTTAATAAAACATTAATATTTTCACTGTAGAACCAACAAAAACATTAATCAGTGTCGATTGTTTGTGCCCAGCGGGATATTGTTGTTTTTCTATGGCTCCGGTACATATATGAGAGTATTTACCCGAATAGCGGATACCGTTGGGTCCCTTTAATTTCCGGCTGCACTTGTGTCCTATTTATTCTCGGCTTTCCATCAAATTCTATTTAACGCGACGACAGGCGGTCCTTATTGTTTAAATTAAAGTACTTACGTGACGTTCGTTGAGTTATTGCAATAATAAAATGTCTCTTTGCTCCATAAATTATGGAAAATTGGATAATCTTACCGTAAAATATGTTTTTCTTTATTGCTCTACTTGATATTAGGTTGGAAGTATGATTTGTTTTGTAAATGCATACGTGTTCGATGTGGATTTTTATGTAATTGGAACTTTAATTAGAAAATCTTAAAATACATTTTGTCATTTAAATCGAACGAAAGTAGGTGAGTAGTTTTGTATTTATATACAAACATCTTTATTAAATCTGAAGTAAATGAGCTCCCAAAATGTTAATGAACAACAACATAAATCCGCCACATAAACAAGTAATACACATAAAGGGATTTACTTTGAGACAGAAATTGTATACCTTAATTACCTCATTTCAAGTCGAGAGCACTAATTAGGTAACGATCGCGACTGATTGGGAGCCGCGCAGGTACTCTGCCGAGCCAACAAAGACGTTGAATACCGAAACACTTGAATTGGGGACTCATTAGAGCCTCTTTGAGCCGGCTTGTTTGACATCCACGTTGAATTCGCTCTCATTTGCCACTCACAAACGTTGATGACTGCTAAGCTCTCTGAAGAATTGGAACAAGCTCCTTTTAGATGTCACGAAAGAAAAAATATTGAAATACTTTTATTGTACCCTTGAAATAATGTTGGCAGATTATAAGGACGAGATCATTAAGGATTTTGTGTGTAATATTAAAATGTGTTCTCATTCTGAGTTCTTTTTAGATTAAAGGTAACGATAAAGAAGACTTGCTTTGAAATAAAACAACATTGTATATAGATAGGTATTTTGTATTTATTTAGTTCAAAGAGCATCAAACTAAGGAGATCTTGAGAGGCATTCGAGCGGAATAAGTGGCTTTTCTTAAGCTAGACGCACTCGAGAGTCAAAAGATACGATAGGTATTGATATATTTAGAGACTTAAGTGAAAAGAGTATAGAGAAAACCAAACTCTCAAATGGAAATTGCGATACATAAAGATAAAATATTTAGATTTTCCAAACAATTTAATATTATGATCAAACATGAGTAATTAATTAATCTGTCAATAATAATTGGAATAACAACGTAATTTCCACAGTCAATGCGACTGCTACTACTGAATGTCGTCGGTACACTCAACAGCAGTCAGAATGTCAAGCATATTAATGTCACTGCCTGATTAATCCTGAATCGCATGGTAATTGGATTTCTGGTACAATTACGAAGCAAGATTACCAAAGCCACCAGTGATTGACACTAGGACTTAATCCCTAACGGTCTCGTTCAGTGACACATTGTCTTTGAGTTCAGACAATAGGACCACAAACACGATCCTCTCCCACGAGAAGATTAATGAATCTCGCATTATTTTATTTTTGTAAATGTAATTTGTAAAGCGGCGTTATCTTAGGATGTTTGTTATACTTGTTTTTGTCATTATTTGAGCCTCAGACGCTTAATTTAATTTGCTTTTTTTGTTGAGTAATTGTTGTGTGATGTTTTGTCTAAAATATTATGATTAATTAATAGAATTACGTGTTTAATGTTAGTTGTGTTTTTGGTGAGTTTGTTTTTTATTATTTGCAAGCATTATCTCATGATTAATGGTCACCTCATTATTGTTGAATTACGTTTTCATAACTCCAAGTGAATAATAGAATAGATAAATGGAACTTTAGTCTAGTTTAAACTAGACTATCATTTTGTTATTTGATAGACATCAGTGCGAGTACTGATGTAGTAGACAGTGAAATTGAAATGCGTTTGTAATTGTGGAATGTGCTCGTTTAAGGTGTTTAATGAAAGCCACACTGTCAGGGTTCAGCCGAGGTTGCGGGGTAAGCGCAATGAGGCACCGCGACCTCGGCCGACAGCAGGAGAATGAACAGTGGGGTTTTTAGTCAGTAAGAGTCTGACACTCCCTACTTCCTCCCCCTTCCCCTTACAAAAAAAAACACTGTCAGGGTACTTATACATTTAAATGTATGGTGGGCAGAGAGAGACAGGGAGAGAGACAGAGAAGAGATACAGACAAAGAAGACAAATACAAAAAGGAATTGAAAGCCGGGATTGCGAGTCAAGCGTAATAATACATATACCGCGGCTTCGGCTTGAAGCAGAAGGTCAAATTTTAGTCAGTTAGAGATTAACACTCCCTCTCACCTGCCCAGAGTGGAATAAATAATTTGGAAATTTCGCCCCCTCAAAATAAAAAGGAAGGGAAATCTCTGACTGCACTGTTGGCGCGGTGGCTGGGCAAATAGCTGTGGCGCAAAGTATCGCGGGTTCGATTCCCGCACAGAACAACTCTTTGTGTGATCCACGTGTATTGTTGTTCCGGGTCTGGGGGTGTGTGTGTGTGTATGTGAATTTGTATGCTTGTAAACCCACGACTCAGGAAAAAATTGTAGTGTAAGGCAAAGTCTTTAAAAAAATCAAAGCAAGGACAGTTTATAAAACAAACTGACAAAGATGTTTCTAATTAGCTAGGCATTTCTTGCACCTGTATGCTAGCTGCACGGGATACTGCATTGATCACGTAAACAACTTCAGTTTGTATTGGTCGTTAGCAGGTAACAGTCTTGTGACTAATTACTAATTGTGTTACATTTACAAAGGTGATATCGTTCATTTAGCTCGGACTTCAGTGGTTTGTATTCACGACAAGGTTGGTGGCCATAAGGAGGATAATAATAATAAGTGTGGGCAAGCCATTCTTCGGCGAATGGGTCGGCTCGAGATTGATAACACAGCCTCGCAGAAAACCAGCGTGAACAACCACAACGTTGTGTTTTGCCGTGTAAGTGAGGTTACCAGAGGTTCCATTTTCCCCTCCCTCAATTCATTCCCAATTCCTCCAAAAATCTCCAAAACCCTAATCCCCAAAAGGATAGAAACGTTCTAGTAACTCCTCTGTTGTTGCGGGTGTTCATAGGCAGCGATGATTGATTTATTACATAGTTCGGTAATTTTTCGACTAGGGAGCCCTGAAATTTTCTTTTTTATAATTGAATTATCAGGTAACAATCTTAAACTCGTGTACAATAATTATGAGTTAAAGAACGTACGTAGATGTGTAACAATGTCAATTTTTCATTTTCAAATCGTTACCCTCTTCCGTTACACTATTCCTCAATTCCTATTCCTAAATTACAGTTTTCAAATCTACAAATTGCAAATGCTTCAATTTTCAATTACTAAAAGGTGCGAAAACAATTATAATTCTACTAAATAATGTTGCGAGTGTCCATTGGCGGCGCTGATTGCTTACCATCACATGATCTATCTGATCATTAGTCGGAACGAATATTCTAAATGGATTTTTGACCTGAACAAAGTTCCAGTTCTTATTCTAGTGACAGAATGTGAACACAAACTTGATTTTTAATATCATTCTTTCCCTAAGAGTTACCTACTTGAAAAAAGGTAGAGATTCTCAGAAAAAAAAGAACTAAGTCACTTAAACGAAGTGCCTACCTTCCAATTCTTAAAGCATTTTTTAAATTTCCTAAAATTGTTCTACATTTATGTGTTCGGAGAAAACGTTTTGTGTGTTTATAATATTTATATTTTTTAGACGTTTTGCCATTAACTCGGTGGTGGCTTGGTAAGTACTTTGGTGAAAAAATGTGAAAAACATCTAAAAAGGTTGAAATAGAGCGGTAGTTGGCAACGGATTTGATGTAATGGAAAACCTATGTCACTTGGCACTGAAATTGTTATTTATGGATATTGGTTGAAGTTATTTCTTTTTTAATTTTTACTCAATAAAGAGGCTGAACTAATTTATCCAATCTTTTTGGGTAACCTATCTTGTTTTAAAATAATAATTATATCAGCATTAAAATTAATTAAGACACCATAAATAATTTGAAGTTAGAAACCGAATTTGAATTTGGAATCTATAAACAAGATTAGATTCAACACGTCTCAGGAGACCTGCAACAAAACACTGTTTACTTTTCAAAATTTCGTATTTTCATAGGCTTACATCTGCGCTCATGTCAATTAAAAAAAAAAACATGGTCTACAAAGTGTTTAAATTTAGATTACTAATAGTTTTAGAGAAAGTTATTTTATTTTAATATTTAATGCATTACAAGTTTGGCAAAACGTATCCCACTCCTACTGTAAAAATACAAGATCTAATAAAATAAAACATCAAAACAACCCTTTTTGTATAAATTTTTAAAAAGCTCAATTCATCTACAACATTAATTCAATAGTGTCATGCTTGAAAACAAGGTCGCCTCACTTGCCTACAGGGTCACCACAAAAAAGTAAAAGCAAGGACTTTTACCCAAATAGAGGTCTAACATAAAATACCTCCCAGATTGTAATTTACTGCCTCAAAAAATAAAACCTAGAGTTTTGTGACTACATAAACTGAGGGAACTGCCGTATAGATTTGGTCCTCAAGATTTTTTATGCTCCGAGGCACGTGTTGTGTACTGAATATGTCGCACGCTTAATCATAAAGAGAAATAACTCAAAAATAAGTTATTTAAAGATTCAATCATAAAACGTAATAACATATCGCTAAGAATATTTACGCTCCAACCGCCGCTCGATTTGAATGAATATGAACGAAATAAAGGACTGTCGCTCTCTTTCTGACTAACGCGCCCGAACAGATTGGTACCAGTAAACGGCTATATTCAGTCATGTGCCAACAGTGATGCAAGTAAGGTGATCGCAAAATTATTTAAAGGGCGAAACATTACGGCATAAATCTTTATATTATTAACAGGTAAGTCTTATTTCTTGTTTTAATTTATTCATAAAGTGAATAACTAAGTCTTATTTCACTTTATTACAAAAAGTATGTCACTACTTTGTGATATCATTTTGACTTATTGCAGTTTAGTTTAAATTTTATTAACGCGTCGTCCAAATTTATACGAGTTATTTCGTTTTCATTTTAAAAGAATAAATATAATGTTGGCACAAAATGACTTATTTCGTTTTAGTTTTAAATTATCGTTCAAATTTAATAATGAAACATGCTTGTTGCTGTTATATGATTAATTGTCGTCAAAAGTTATTTGGGACATTTAAAATTATTTCCCTTTCCATTTGAATAGAATATTTTAATTGTTACTTATTCTATGCATCGTCTGAATAGCCATTTAATGAATTAACATCCAATTAGGCCAGTCTTATTATTATTGTATCCTACCCTAATCCTTATATAAGATAATTTGAAGGGTACAGGGACAAAACAAGGAATGTCACAAAAAGAAAGTTTTTGTGTAGGTAATTAATGCTACATAAAAATATGCGCGAAAATCTAAGTTTTGCTGCTAATACTTAATTTATATTTGATTTTTTTTTGTGACATTCCTTTTTTGTCAGATACTAACCTAAAGCAAAGAATATATACTATTACTTCCGTTCTAAAGCCATTTTTGCCGTAGTGAGGGAATTAATTTAATTATTAATCTGTTTTAAAACGGGTATTAATCGCGTCATACCTTGCTATTTTATTTTTCCGACGTTTCAGCTGAGTTGCATCAGCCGTGGTCACGGGGCGACTTATATAAATTATATTTAGTTTTACATTATTATTGACGTTTAAAACTGTGACTTGATCCGTTATTATCCGAGTCGCAGACGCGCCTTTTTTTAATTACTGTTAATTTAATATTAAAAACATTATAAATTGTAATTTTTTTGTAGCATGGCGTCTTGGAGAGCAAGTCGTATACTTAAATTGGTATCACCTGATGCAACATCTCATACTCAAGACAATCTGGTGGTTAAAATCGACAATACTATTGTAGAAGATCAACACAGTACAGCTAAAGAAAACGCAGAAAATGTTTCCCCAAATAAAAATATTGATGTAAGTAGCTGTGATGAGATCTTATCAGATTGTGATAGAGATGATCAATTTGCCAACAAAATTGATGCTCGATTTATAAGTTCCCGTAAAACAGATAATAGTAGTCTTACTACACACACATCAATAATAAGAACATTGCAAACAAACCTCGTACCAGATTATGACAGTGATGATTCATCCATAAATGATAATAATAACTTAGAAAACATTGAAACTTGTACTGAAATTGATCAAAGCATTCAAAAAGCACTGCCGAAATCTTCTTCTTCAAGCTCGTCTACATCAAGCTCGTCTTCATCGAACTCTACCTCCTCTGGTAGTTCATCTTCGGATTCAGACAGTTCTACGTCTTCTAAACGAACTAATCAACATTCTGAACAATACGCCAATGGTGTAAGACCACAGAGCGCTTCAACTTCCACTCTACCTGCCAATATTTCACCAAATTATACTGATGAAAGTGATAATATAGACTTAAGTGATGACGACCCTACATTTAATTATGAACTGTCTACCAAACGCAAAAAGAAAAACTATTTTTTTGATGCCACCAAAACAGACTCATCTGACAGTGACGACGATAGTGTTTCAGATTCTGATAGAAAGAAGCTTAGTAAAAGAGGGCGCAAGCGATCTCTAAATCCTGCAAAGTGGAAACAAAATAAAGTTAAAAAGCTACGGAACACTGGTGAATCGTATATATCCATATCGAAATCTCAGAAAGTTATTCCCAGCCGCTGTCTTAAAGTGCCTTGCACAGATAAATGTAGATTAAAATGCACAACTAATATATCAATGGATGAAAGGTATAATATATTCAAAGAATTTTGGGATTTAGGAGACCTGACAAGACAAAGAGTTTTTATAAGCAGTTGTATGGTAGACATAACTCCAAAATATAGGTACACAAATGCTACAAATCCCAGACGCCCAAATAAAGCCTATAATTTTACTGTTAATAATAAAAAAATAAGGGTATGTAAGACATTTTTTAAATCTACTTTGGATGTTACGGACAGAATGATATTCACCATACAGCATAAAGTAAGTGACGGTGGCTTTATGCTTGAAGATTTGAGAGGGAAACACCATAGCCACAAAACTCTCCCTCCTGAATTGATTGACGACATACGGAAGCATATTCAATCCATTCCGAAAATAGAGTCACACTATGTGAGAGCTACTTCTACCAGAGAATACATTGACGGTGGTAAAACTATAAAGGATTTGTATTCAGATTTTGTTAAACAACAAGAAGAAAATAACAAAGAGACAGGAAATTACATAGCATACTATAAAATATTCACTCTAGAATTTAATTTAAGTTTTTTCCAGCCAAAAAAAGACCAGTGTGATTTATGTGAATCATTTAAAAACAGTACTGATGAAAAAAAGAGAGAGCTGGAAGATAAATATAATAAACACATAGAAGAAAAGTCATTGAGTAGAATAGAAAAACAAGAAGATCGTAAAAAAGTTACCAAAGATAATATAGTCGCAATTTATGATTTAGAAGCAGTGCTCCAATGTCCAAGAGGTGATACCTCGGCATTTTATTATAAATCCAAACTTAACAGTTACAATTTAACATTAACGGAATTGACACAAACGGAGTCAAAAACGGCATATGATAAAGTACATTGTTATTTTTGGACAGAATCAGAAGCTAAACGTGGGGCAATAGAAATAGGAACTTGTGTATGGCAGTATCTTGAAGGGATATGTGAATCAAATATAGAAGAGAAAAACGTTACATTTTATTCTGATAACTGTTGCGGACAGAATAAAAATAAATATATCGCAACATTGTATTTATTTGCTGTGAACACGTTGAATATAAGAAGTATAAAACACAAGTTTTTAATCACAGGGCACACTCAAAATGAAGCGGATAGCGTGCACAGCTTAATAGAAAAAGAGATAAAGAAAAATCTTAAATCAGGGCCCATTTACAGCCCTGATCAGTACATAGCTTTAATTAAAAATGCTAAAAAAAGTAAACCAGCTATAAATGTACACGAATTAACCTTTGATTCCTTCGTTGATACTAAAATATTGCAGGAAGAATGGGGTTACAATTATAATACAAATATGGACGGACAAACAGTTAATTGGAATAATATAAAAGTATTGATGATGAAAAAAGAGAAACCATTCAGTATTTTTTACAAAACTTCCTACAAAGATGATTGTTTCCAAGAAATAGATGTAAGAAATAAAAGGAAGAAGATGAAGCTCATAACAGAAATTACACTAAAAAAGGCTTACACGGAAAGGCAAGATATAAGTCTTAATAAAAAGAAGGATTTAAGAGATCTCGTCAATAAAGGACTTATTCCTCCTTTTTACGCAAATTTTTATAATTCGATCATTAACTAGAGTTACTTCATTGATCTCATAATAATTCATTAAAATTTTAGTGATTTTGTTTGTCTATAATATTTTTAGAAACATCGTTTTTTTTTTTGTTTTTATAATTAAGAAGAGTTTTAGTTTTGTTATTAAGTATAACTAATATTAGTCAAGTATAACATTATGATTGTTTAACATTGTGATTCCACGTTTATTGATTATTTTTTAAACATATTTTTTTTCACTTTTTGCCCCAGCCTGGGTTTGTGATTAGGTACCTCCCTGCCTTAATTCAGTTAGCCAAGTCATTAATGTCTTGTGTTATATTACTTTCGTACTTTAAAATAAAAGAATATTTCTAATTATGCGTTTCATTACTATAATATTTATTGATATTTTTCCGTCATGTTGTAAGACAAAGAAATATTTCGAATTCTTGTAAGAAAATTATTACATTTATTAATAAAAAATTGAAATAAAGCTTACTTAAGTTGAATAGCTAAACAAAATTTTATTAATAAAGAGATATATTATGTTTTATGACTAATAACATTTAAAATATGCACGTAGATTTTAATCATAAAGTGAAATAACTAGGAACTTTTTTTTTAATGCATCATCTACTAGTCAATAGTAAATAAAATATACTTTTATATAGCACTAAACAAAAACCAATAAACCCAGCTTTCCTTTAAATCAGTTTATTTCCTTATAACACGTCTAAATTAATTTTAATACGTAAACAAAGTTCAACCCAGAATAGTTCTAAACTTTAAACTGGCATATCCAAAAAATATCAATTTTGATATATTTCTTTTTTTGATTAAGCGTGCGATGTGTATTTTTGGGTCAATCTGGGGGCAAAAGAAATATGCTGCGAAATCTATTGTATCCATAAGTAACTGGCCTTTAAGTTGTCACTGTATCGTACTTACATAACAAAAATATTGGACCCATGAGAGGTTGAAACGATGGGTTTCCGAATACCATGATCCTTTTACGGTTTCGTGTCCAAAAGGGTTTCGATTGCTAAGATTACTGCTTTTCCCCGTGTATAATAATTTATATGCCTATATTATTATTAAATCTTTTAAGATTTTGTCAAAATATATCGGCCTAGTTTTGGTGATGATAAAAAAGAAGTATAATTTATTTCACGAGTGCCAAAAATTTTATTATAATTATTAAAATTTAGTTTTTATAATTACATCTACGTTGCCGAAGAAAAAGTAAGTTGTAGTACGTGCAAACTTTGACATCAATAAAAGTGAAAAGATCTCGATAACGTTTTCACAAATTTTGTGCTAAAAGACAAATAAATTTTCTATTTTTAAATATCTTCATGTAACTAATGCACAAAATAAATCACACTTGGCAGTATTTTTTGTACATTTTGGAAGCTTCAATTAATAATTCAATTTTTCCTTTATAACAGTAACATCTGAAATGAAAGTCAGATACACAAGCAATTTATTTTTGTGATATAATAATGTTACTATCAATGTTAATGGTAGGCCATGAAGAGACTATGTGACCGCCATTATGAATTCGTTCGTAATGAATGTCCCATCGCACGTGGCCTGTATGCTCAATGATAATATGTATTGGAATTGTTTCATGTAGAAAACATTACTGGATGGTAATAAGTTTCATGTATATGGAATACTGATTGCTTTGTTCGTGCATTGATCTTAAATGGGATTTCTAAAAATACAGTTTTGAGCTTGTATCTGGAACTTGTTCAATTTCATGTTCAGTCATATTTTTATTTTAAAATACTCGCTATTTTTTGGGAAAATATAAAATTTGTGGGGAAATGAAACCTGAACCTTCTGTGAATTGTATTGAATGTAATTCACTGAAATTATAAAAACATATACATATATTTAGAACAAGCTATATAAATGTAGCTTCGTGTACAACAATTGATGATGCCACAAATATGTCATCTCCATCATCATCCATTACAAAAAAAAACTATTACATTTGGTACAATAAGAACCTTATTTTAAAAACACAAATACTATTTTCATTTTTATAATTTCAGCCAGAAAAAGAAGTTGACTTATTTTTATATGACCATATCTACATATGTACGTACCTCAAAGATTTATGTACTGTACATATATAGGTACATACATATATCAGACCCTAACGTAAAAAGTTATGGCTCAATTTCGCGTAGCTTATCTTTGATTCCACTCCACCAATTACGATAAGGTGGTTACATATTTCTTTGTCAAATAAAACTCATGTAAGGAGTCCATATAAAATAGCGGTATAATGTGCACATATATATTTTCATAGCAATAAGCAAAAGATGAAAATGAGACATAATAACGTCGTGGTGGCCAAAAGGGTGAGGTTTTGAAACGTGGCAGGTACCAATATGTCTTTTCCGCGTTATATGTACCTTCTGCGATTATTTAGACACCACTGACATACGGTGAAGAAAAAAAATCGTGAGAAAATCTGGACTTATAATTTTTAATTATAACTTTGAAATCGCTAATCGCTCTTGAGCAAGCGTGGAGGTACATGCTTGTTCACCGCATGAGAAGAGGCCTTTGCTCAGCAGTGGGCACTTATAGACTGATGATGTGTAAAATGAAACAAAGAATGGAGTCGATTCCAATAACGTTACGTTAAATACGTGTCATCATCATGGTACTCAATGTAGTCGAGCAAAGTATTATTAGGTAGTTTCAAAATTCTTAGTCTAAGTTTATTAGGTATTTAAGTTACAATATTCTTAGTCAATTTTAACAGTTTTGATTTGTATATCTTCAGGTACAAACCGTCTCAGTGCTGTTAGAGAGTTTTATAAAATTTTGGTCATTCAATAATTTTCTTGATTCAATCATAGATTATTCCATAGTTTGTTACGAATAGTGTGTATAACGTACTTACCGCGATATCGGCCCTGACCGGGAGAAATAACGGTATGTTTTTCAGAAAGAGACTGGCTGGCCTTTCGCCTCACCCAGGGCGGAGATGATTTGACGTCCATGAAAACTAAAAAAAACTTTAGAAATTTTGAATGATTTAGAATAAAAAAAGACTGTAAACAATAGAGGAATAAAACACTCAGTACTAGGTACTCAATACATTATTTAGGCAGCACTCAATTTTGCCTGCGACAGATAACGTATTTTATGAAAGCAGTTAAGTTTACGACTTGGTTAAATATGTACCGTGGTCTTGTTCGGTTATGCCGCCTACGAAGTTATCTCATTTACGACGCAATTTGTGGTTTAATTATAGCTTTCGAATTAGATCTGATTCTACGGTGCAAAATTATAATTCATATTACATTGAGTATGAAGGCTGGTATAAATTTGTTTGCCTTAAAATATGATGGGCGCAGTGTTGGAAAATGTAATGAAATAAATCTTTCCATACTTTATTTTTATGAAGCAATTCTTAAAAATTTTACGAATGTCTTTTATTTGTGAGTTTTCTTAAGCCGTCATACAAGTTTGTTATAAAAAGATAGTCACATGAAATATATCATCAGCCTAGACGTAACCACTGCAGAGTATAATTAGGACTCCTCTTAAACGGAGAAGGTTTGAGCATTTATCTCCAGACTTGCTCAAGGAACATTGTCGATATCGAAATACACTCTTTAAAACAATATATACACATTTCCTCTCAAGTTATTTTTTACCGTCTGTTAGTGTTGTCTTAATATTTTAAGAAAGTCCATATAACTCGATTCCTTTCGAACCCTGCTAATATAAAATAGGTAATACTAAAACCCATTGAAATAACAGTTTAAATCTCTATGCAGTGCAATTTAATAGAAAACCATTTCATCTAAAAACTAGATTAAACCAGTTGTATTCAGCAAACACAAAAAGTACGGAACATTTGAGCCTTCCAACAAAATGTAAGCGTTAGGCTATCCATATTTTACGGCAGGATACAGGCGCAGTCGAGCTGCGGTTTCACTGCACCACGTTACAGGTGTGTCTCTGTTTTAATCTCCTAATGGCCACCCTACCATGCACCTAACCGAGGGCACGTTTACATTAGTGAACACCTCCTAAGTAAAAATAGTTTCGTATTTCAATAGAACTTCTTGCAAAATTACGAAAGAGCGACTGGGTTGATTTTTTTACATTTTCAAATTAAAAGTGGTTTAGACTTTTAGCAAAATAAAACTACATGATTTTTAACTTATAAGGTTTTGGAAGAAACACGTGCGAACTCAGTAGGGCAGTATAAAAAAGGATTTTACGTTGAGTTGTGGATGGTAAAAGGATGACAATCAAATGACTTGTTAGTGTTAATGCCGATATTCAATTGTTGATAAAATTATATACAATAATATTCTTACATAATGTTTTTTTACTCGTATGTATGGCCGGTGTTGTAGATTTTTATTTGTAAGAGGCAAATATAGGTAGTCCTAGACTTTTACTGACTAAAAACCCTCTCATTCCTTCTTCTGCTCCAGGCCGAGGCCTGGTAGCTTATTGAGCTTGCCTCGCAACTCGGGTATTGCCGAGCAAAAGAAGGAACGAGGTGGGTTTTAGTCAAAAGTTCGAGTCTCACTCTCTATCTCACCTCACCCAGTGCGAGAGAAGTCATTGGATGATTTTTAATCAAATGAGGTTAAACATTGAGTAGAGAGTTGATAGGATTTTTATAGTTTTAAATTTTTATAAACTTACCTACTAGCGGCCCACCCCGGCGTTATACGTGTGCGTTGCTGATACTAAATCTCCACAATTTACTATTTAATGATGTGGTTATACATATAAACTTTCTTCTTCAATCACTATATCTATTAAAAACCGCATAAAAGATGTAGACAGTACTGTACAGTTTCAAAGATTTAAGACATGCATATGGATATATGGGGACAGAGAAAGTGAATTTATTTTATAATAGTAGTCTATAAACTTAAGTATAATAAATTATATATCTATGTATCAATACCTCGTTATCTATAGTAGATTCATGGATCCGCTATGCCATATAAACGTTCCCTATTGTGGGTCTATAGGAAAAGCCCGTAATTTTCGACGCGTACAATTTATTTTACGAACACTAAATATTGGCTTGTGAATTTATGAGACGACGGACGTAAAAATAAAAAAAAAGTCTCGCTGACGGATTGCGGAATGTTTTCGACATTCTATAATATTTATGTGTTTTTGTTCAGCGTTTACGAAGGTTCAGGAACAGTTTTTCATAGTTTA